TTTTGTCATTATGATAGGCTTTAGGTAGTCGCTGTAGGACTGACGGATCGTAGTCTGGGCGCTGAGCGCCCCATTAGGAGTAAGAGCTACGAGTACATTGTTGGTGGTGGCGAGAGGATGCTTTCATTGACAACTGAGTTCGCTGCTTTGGTTCTCCTTCGGTGTGACATCACTGCATTTCTGCTTTCTGGACAGCTTTCAACAATCTGGCTTTCAATGTGATTTCGCAATCTGGAATTCTGTCATTTCGGCATTGCTCCTTTTTCCTTGCACAGGCATTGTATTTGAACGTGGTATGGGCGAAGAATGGGTTGTAGAGGAGGAAGTGGGTTGGTTATACATGAGCTTTGAAGGGGGTGGAAAGGGGTTTTAAGTTTTTTTAAGTTTTAAACTGCAAGCACATGGCCCCAGCCTTGCAGAAAGTTTTTGTCGCCACAAGCAAAACTCGGAGGGGCCACGCGGCGTGGGGTGCCGTTGAAAAAAGAAATCGGCGGCCTCCGAAGTGGTGTGGGTTTCGTGCTGACACCCGCGGGCCGATGTGTGGTGTGCTGGTGCTTGAATGTCAAAAGGGTGGCCGGGTGTGCATCAGTTTGCCTTTTCTATTTGGTTTTCGACCTTCGAATTAGTAAGGAATTCTGAAGTGACCCTCAACCAAAAGTTGTTCGAATTGCAATTCTACACAACAACAAGGAAATGAGCAATGCGAGTGACAATAAACCAGATTGTAGCATTCCATAGATATCCATAGATAACTTGAGTCTGAAATGAATGTGGATTGCAACGCGAGATAAACATGAAATAAGTACGGACAAAGCATTGAAGTCACATGATAATGAAAGCCCTGCCCTCGCCTCCAATCAACAATGTCACTCTCCTATATTGGTGCTCGGTGCGCAGACTACAACCATACAGCTCCGACGACCTGGACACCTAACAACAGATCGCCAACGAAGACCATCTGCCTGACGAATGCATGAAGAATGCATACGTTGCGTTCCGCTTCTCGTCCGCAAGGTGAGTGCCTCATCACATCACTCATCCCCTGTCTTCCCGTACCACAGCCCCTTTGCCCAGGACCACCGCTCTCCTCCTCTGGCTATGGTGTCAGCAGCCCGGCTATGGCTGCTGCGATCTGCCTGCTCGCCCTCGCAGCTCTTTCCTCGTGTGCCCCGCCAGCGCCTGCTTCCCTCTAGCTAGCGCTCATCCGCTCGAAGCTAGTGCTCCAGCAGTGCTGAGGGTCCAGCCAGCCAGAATGTATGAGTGAGGCAGCCTTGACCTCTTTTGTGCTGGCTGCGAGGCATTCGACCTGGCTGGACTGGATGCCCCCTGTCCCAGTACCTCCGCCCTGAGCCCCTCCCGGAATGTGCCTGGGCCTAACTGCCTGAGCCCTGCGCCTCAGAATCTTCAACCACCCGAGGGTTGGGCCCTACCAGTTGGTTAAAGATGCTGTGTGCAGCAAGTTCAGCAACTCCTAACGGGCCCCAATTTTCAGCTCAAACAGGCCTTTACGTTGGCCAGGCCTGAATTCTGGAGGCGCGCCTTCAGTGAGGGCGTGCACGGCCTTGCTGAAGCCTTGCCAAGGGGCTCAATCCTCGCACAACTTTTCTTCTTCTTTTCTTTTCTTTCCTTTCTTTCTTTCTGTCTTTGTTGTCTTTTCTTTTTGTATCCCCCCGGGTCCTCATCGAAGTTGCTACCGATTTACTCAATTTGGGTGGGGTGACAGGAGTCCCTCCGAGACTCTTTTCCCCTACCCAGGTTTGCTGCTGCAGGCCAAACAAAATCGGACCGACGCAACCACGAAAAAAATTGTTTTTGCCTGGCACCGAAAGCCATTTTCGCCCGGTGGGTCAAGCCCCTGTGACAGATACATTTCTACAACTCCATGGTCCCCCTCGCTTCGAACTGTTTCTGTCGAATACAAATGTGCGCTCACGTTTTTGAGCTTTGTCGGCAGTCGTGCGTCTGCTAATTGCAGGTTCATTACTTTTTGCACCAGTGCTGGTCCCTGGGTGGCCCGGTTGGGGGAAGGTCGCCCTCGTACCCACCTGCGCATACCCAGCTGAGCGGGGTCCTGGCAGGGTCCCATGCGCTCCCAGCACATAACATTAAGAAAAGGGAACTGTGCCATTCAACCACAAGGGTGGAGTTACTTTTCTCCTTTCGAGGACCTATTAAGAAGCGAATTCATTATTTTCTCAATTTGACAATTTACCCTTTTTTTTTTTTTTTTTTTTTTGGTCTCCTGGGCTCATGATGCCCCCCTTGGTCCTTCTCTAAGCTCCTTTTGTCTCCTGGTGCACCCCCTGCCCTCCTATCTATAGCCCTGAAGCGCACTCAGGCTACCTGTCCAGTGCTGGTCCCTGGGCGGCCCGGTTGGGGGAAGGTCGCCCTGGTACCCACCTGCGCATACCCAGCTGGGCAGGGTCCTGGCAGGGTCCCATGCGCTCCCAGCACATCACATTAAGAAAAGGGAACTGTGCCATTCAGCCACAAGGGTGGAGTTACTTTTCTCATTTCGAGGACCTATTAAGAAGCGAATTCATTATTGTCTCAATTTGACAATTTACCCTTTTTTTCTTTTTTTTTGGTGTCTCCTGGGCTCATGATGCCCCCCTTGGTCCTTCTCTAAGCTCCTTTTGTCTCCTGGCGCAGCCCTGAAGCGCACTCAGGCTACCCGTCTGCCTTCTCTGTCTTACAGGTGTGTGCTTGCCTTTGAGCTTCACTAATTTCTTCGAAAGAGTTTGGTACGTACCCAATTTTTCTTTTGGGTGCGTACCAAAAAAAAAAAAGAAAAGAGTTTGGCACGTACCCTCTTACCCTGAAACACAACACCCAGTCAGGCCAAATAGATATATAATGACCCGGACAATGTGTTCAGAAGAAGAAGGCAGTATTACTGTATTCATTCAAAGCTGATCAATATTCAAACTCATGACCTGTTCACTAACTTAACAGGCACATGTGTAGGACTCTATACCATTTCGCCACAAGAGTAGGGGTGGATTTGAGCTTCAAGTGTCTTGCTGCTATTTCTGGTTGATTTGCAGAGAGACAAACAAAGGGCACAGCAGCTTGTTAAAGAGAGAAATATAAAATTTTCGTTGCAGTGTGCATGTCCAAAAAGAGGTGGGTTCGAACTTCGAACCCAATCGTGGTGGAAAGAAACAACCAACCGGCTAAACCTGCTTCCTGCCTGACAGGTTTGGTGTCAAAGTTTGCTGGCAAATGACAAGTCTCTGTCTTGTCTCAGTGGCCTGCACTTCACAGCTATCTGTCAGCATGTGACCCTTCTTTTTTTGTGACCTTTATCACTGCATGAACAGGGAATATAACAGTTGAATGTTGTTTATTTAACTTTATTACAACTTTACCAGGTTTACCTCCTCCTCTACTCCTCTCCTCCTCTCCTCCTCTCCTCCTGTCTCCTCCTCCCCCTCTCCTCCTATCTCCTTCTCTCTCCTCCTCTCTCCTCCTCTCTCCTCCTCTGAGCTATTTTGGGCCCCTGACAAGTGCGCATACCCAAACTTTACCTCCTCTCCTCCTCTCCTCCTCTCATCCTCTCATCCTCTCATCCTCTCATCCTGTCTCCTCCTCTCCTCCTCCCCTCCTGTCTCCTCCTCTCCTCCCCTCCTCCCCTCCTCCCCTCCCCTCTCCTCCTCTCCTCCCCTCTCCTCCTTCCCCCCTCCACCTCTCTCCTCCTCTCCTCCTCTCTCCTCCTCTCCTCCTCTGAGCTATTTTGGGCCCCTGAGGAGTGTGCATGCTCTCTGCCACCCGGATGTCGGCTGAGGTTCAAATTTCTAAGTTTTAACAGTGCAAGGTTGTCAGTGTCAGATCAGACTTAGTTCTTCTGCCTGGCAATGGGCTATATGAAATCAGACGCCAACATAAAGCAAGCAAATCTGAAGAGGAGGAGCAGAGCTGTGATGGAACACCGCGATATATTTTGCAAGACTCCGACCTCAAGAACAAACTTTTGGCGAACCCCCCACAACCCCACAGCACAGCACAGCACACTTACAGTGCGCTGTGTGCTGTTGGGTGTGCCAAAAAGATGTACAGTGCACCGCAAACATGAACTACAATGCACTTACAATTCAATTAATGGAATGAAATGAAAAATCAGAAGAAAACATAAATGAAAAATCAGAAGAGAAAAGAAACGTCAGGGAGGTTGCAAAGAACAGTCCAGAGACTTTCAGAGAGGAGAAAGAGGTGTTCATCAAGGATTGGCTGCTTTCAAGGAAGAAATGAGGGCATGATCGACAGCTACAGTAAGTGGAACAGATGACTCTTCAGGACACAGCGCAGTGAGTGGACATCAGATCTTTTTTTTTTTTTTCCCTTTCTTTTCTCGAACTGCATAGTTCCCAGATGTGGTAGGCACCTGAAGCTCAAGGGCTCAAAGCCAATTATTATTGTCTTTAAGTTTTAAACTTTAAACTTTAAACTTTAAAGCCAGTGTTTGAGTCAGGAGCACTGTAGTGGTGGGTTCCAGAATGATCTACACAGAAAAAACGTCACAGATTCTATAGTGAATCATCTTTTTTCTTTTTTTGCAGTAAATCCTTTCTTTTTATTTTTCTGAAGAATCTGAACAGAAGGCAAGCAATGCTGCCAGCTCTTTTTATTCCCTTTTCTTAAAGTTTTTTAACGCTTCCAACCCTATTTCCGATTTTACATTAGACAAATAGAATAGCAGTGATATTGACTTGTAAATCGTTTGTCGAAATTGGGCAATAGGGGCAAAACTTCGCAAAAGACTCGTTGAACCGTCTGTCAAGTAGCTGGTTCCCTTTTAAAAAAAAAAAAAAAAAAAAAAAAAAAAAAAAGAAGTAGCTGGTTCCCTCCGAAGTTTCCCTCTAAGGATAGCTGGAGCTGTTAAACAGTTTATATCGGGGAAAAAAATAAAAAAATAAAAAATTGGGTGCTTCAGGCGATTGTCCTAGCCAGATGTTGCTTCAAATGATTTCCCCTCACAGTTCTTTTTTTCCAATCTTTTGTTTCCTTTAGAGTTTTTGTTCACATGCAGTGTCATGCACCACGTCTAGTGCACCAATGACGGGTGGGCCGCTTGGACATGTGGTGCTGTGACAATGGGGAAATACACACACACACACACGCACACACACACACACACACACACACACACACACACACACACACACACACACAATCAGTTTTATGTGTGTCTGTTTTTTCTTTTGTTGTTTGTTCTTTTTCTCCGATTTTTTCGAAGTACTTCTTGTCCGCCCAACTGACCACCCTTAAGCAGTGTCAAATAGTCAGTCATTCCTAGTTTGGAGTGCCTGCAGCACTCTTAGGGGGGGCACTCGTTTGGGATGTCTGTCTGCCTTGCAAGTGATGACAGGTGTTCGTTGAGTTGACTCCCTGGCTCAGTGGGTGGTGGGGACCAGCACTCTGCGTGGTCTCCTGTGTTGTGAGTAGGTGATGTGCCGCTTTGCTCCATGTTGGCTGTGTAGGCTGCCTTGCCTGCACTCCGCCACGGCCTTGGTGCCCGTCCCGCTTGCTTCGCAGGTTGTTCTTGGCAAGCTGCTGTGTTTGCTGTGTGCTGTGGCCGTGTTGTTGGTGCTGCCTTGCGCTTCACTGCTCTGCTGCCTTGCTGCCCATCCGCAGGCCGTGCCTTCCGTGTCCGTTGCTTGTGTGCCTTGTAGTTTGGTGGCCTTGTTGGTGTGGCCCGTGTGCTTCACTGCACGGTTGCCATGTCGCTTGTCTGCTTGCCCTGTTGTTCCTTGCAGTGTGGCTGCCTTGTTGGCGTTGCCTTGTGCTTCACTGTGTGGTTGCCGCGCTGCGGGTCCGCTTGCCACGTCGTTCCTTGCAGTGGCGTTGAGCAGCCGTGTTGCATTTGCATCGTTGCCTGGTGCTTCGCTGGGTTGCTGCCCACTGCTGTGTTCCGTTTGGGGACAGTCTGCCTTCAACAAGGGTCAAAGGGTGCATGACCAAAAACATCAATATAGGCATTCTGCAGATTGTCAAGGGTTCAGCCTCCTGATGAGACGGTGCACCTCCGACGAAACAATCTATCATCATCCGTTTTTAGATTTTTCAGTCTTTTCATTTTTTGGGGACTCGTACTTTTTGTGCTTTGCTTGCCTTGTATGCTTGAGTGACGTCTGCCCTCCCGCATCCCCCATGCCCTCCAGCCTTTGTCCTTTGCGGCCGCTTGTTGTCCCACGCCTGACTTGTCCTTTCCTTTGTCCTTCCTTGTGTTGTGCGCTTATGTATGATGTGCCCCCCCCGCCTCCCCCCCCCTCCTTCCCCTGCCTCCCCCGTGCCCTCCGGCTTATTGCTTACCTCACTGCCTTTGCCTTGATGCCTTTTGCCTGCCTGGTCTTTGCAATTTTTTTTTTTCCAGACTTGCATACTTTTTGGTTTGATTGTTTGGTGCGCTTGTGTGTCGTCTGCCCTCCTGTGAACACATACATGCACACACACACACACACACACACAACCCCTTTCCCTTTTCCTCCCTCGGACCATGTACGCTCAGCTTAGCAAGCTCACGAGTCCTTCTCACCCCTAGTAGAACCTAGTAGGAGTTCCCGTCAAATGTGCTGTCCCTGCCAGTCCTGATGATAGCTGACGGAAAGCAGATACAGTTCCGCTGGCATGTGCGCATACTGTGCACATACTATACACATACTATGTGCTTACTGTATACATACTATGCACATACTATGTGCATACGTACTATGTGCATACGTACTATGTGCATACGTACTATGTGCATACTATGCACATACCGTGCACATGGCCGTGCAGGATGCTTAAACCACCAGTACATCCGAGCCTCTTTTGCACGCGGCAGATTCCCCCTGGACGCCAAGCTTTGCTGACATGCCGGCACAGAGTTTGTACTTTCGGTTTGGCCGGCGTTGCCAGCCATTTTGGCCCAGTTGCCCCAAGCCATTTTGGCCCAGTTGCCCCAAGCAGACCCTTTTTCTCAAATTACCTGGGGCCATGTACTGTGGCTTAAAGGTTATCGCACTCACATGAATCTCCTATAATTCAGAAGGTCTCTGCAATTTTGGTGGATCTGGGTCTGAATCCGCCTGATGTTTTGCGATAAGTACAGATTACTATACAATGCACCTACCAGCGGGCCAAGCTCAGTAGTTACACCAATGAACTGTTGAAATACACACTGAAGTTCGAATCCACATGCCATCAGGATGAATAGAATAGAAAATTTCTGAATTACGTGGGGGCCACTCAGTCCAATGAAAAATCTAAAGGCCGTCACCACTATAAAAAACAAACAGAAAAATAACTATACAATGCACCCGCACAGGGTTGCAGTTGATATACTCCACCCAATGCGCCCACTATCGTGAGGTGAATTGGGGAGTGGACATGGTTGGCTTACCTGGAGTCCCGATCCACATTGCCAGACCGAATACGATAGCAAAGGGCTATCTGGAATCATACAGGTGCTCTCTGCGCCTTCTGGTGGCTCTGGCGACAAGCTGCAAGCTCCCAGTAAATGGTTCGCTGCCGATAGATCAAAGCCTTCTACGCTGGAGAGACTCATCCGGCTTCTCCACAGATCCTGCAAGGATAATAATAAGTTAATAACAATCAAGCTCGTTAAGAGGTATTCAGTATTCCCCTTCTCCTGTCCCCTCCCCCTGTTCCCCCCCCAAACAAAAGAGCAACCTTAAAAAAGGTTTCAGAGGTAAACTCTAAGTGCTGATCTCAACGACGGATAGACCTCTACAACATGGACTCAAAGAACAGCAATTGACTGATTTGACTTCTCTCTATACATTTTTTTTAGTAACGAGTCCCGCACTGCCCTGCAAGGACTGACCTGCACTGCCCTGCGGTCAGACAGACAAATTGTGACCCCTGCTACATTGTGGGGTAATAAGCCAACTGGCAGAAAGCCGCAATTGGAACACATACCGGCAGGTAGGCAGCAGCGCCTCGAAGAACAGCCTTGCAGGGTAATGTAGCTGCATTATCGGATAAGTGAGCGGCAATTGCGGACCTGTCATGCCTGAGAATCAACAGTTGACAGACAAAGATGATTATTACAAAAAAACAAACAAACAAAAAAAAAACACTAGAAACATAGGGCCACAAGGGACGGGCTGGTCCTCTGTCATGTCTGCTCTCCCCCCCTCCTCGTTTCAGATGTAAAAAAAAAGGTTAAAGAAACATGTTTGCTGGTGATGAGCAATCGGACTGAGCCCCCAGAATAGACAGGGCATTTTGTTTTAGAGAAACAAAAACAGGAAAAAAAATGAAAAGACACAGACTCAAACAAGCTTGAGCTGCTTGCTTGCTTGAGGGTACATGATATGAAGCACGTCATAAAATAAATGAATAGAATCAATAGATGTCAATAAAACGAGTAAAAAAAGAAAGAAACAACCAAACAGACTCGAACAGTGCATCAGTCAATGACTAACTAAGATCATTGCACATTGGATGTCTTCTCTCCTGGGGTGAAGTACACACCATGACCACACCTGTTTGCCTATCTACGAAACCGACAACCTTCATCAATAAGCTCTGTTCATTTTCATTTCCTCCAACAAAGGACAGAGAAACAACTGTTTCTCTCCTAGATCACTGGCCTCTCTCTCTCTCTCCCTCTCCTTCTTTCTCTCTCTCTCTCTCTCTCTCTCTCTCTCTCTCTCTCTCTCTCTCTCTCTCTCTCTCTCTCTCTCTCTCTCTCTCTCTCTCTC